GGAGGTACAGTTGGCAGTTACAGAGAATAAGGCTGCTTTCAATAAATGCCCTAAAGACAAAGAGCTTTCTGCGCCCGTGCAATTGGTCGAAGCACGCAAAGTTGCAGCGTAAGCAATGGCGAAAGCCAAAGTTGATTCTTGGGAGAAGTTAGGTGAGGTGTTTTAGTCGATTTTTCAGTCGGCAAACGAGGTATTCTCGCAGATCTTCCGCTGCCTCCGAGATGGAAAGAAAAGCAGTATAAAGGTGCTGAAGGACAGGCATGACGCCCTCTTACCAAGGATGAGGACATACTTCAGCGATTGAGAGAGTACTTACTTTGAGGAAGTCCTTAACCACCAGAGATCGCAGAAAGACTGGCCTAAAAACCAGCAGGCAATGGATGGCCACAGCGGCTGTAAAAACCTTAAAAAGTAGCAAGACAGCTGGTTCAATGAAATTTGCCCTGAAATTCTTAGTCTTAATCAAACAAGGCATACTGTGGCTAACATGTGTGTGCCAAACTGTAGTGACTATAGGGACGACACCAATGGACTGTAGAAAGGTGGCTGTAGTACTTCTGTTCGAAAAGAGAAACCATAGAGAGTGTTCAAATTATCGGAGTATTACCTTATTGGACCTCTTGAGAAATCTACCCAAAGGTGTTAAAAAGGAGGTCCCGTGGAGTTACTACTTACTTGAGGTATGGGAAGATCGGCATCTCTTCAGGTCAGACCGAAGCACAGCTGAATAATTTTTTGCCTTACTCCCTATTGTTAAGAAATTCAGGGAGTTCAATCATCCGGTGTTCATGTGCTTTTTGGAAGCCTATGACCTGATCCAGTGCAACAGTCTATGAGCGTGCCGGCGAACATATGGGATCGATGGCCAGTTGCTACCGACCGTCCAACCATTGTATGCTGATAGCAGGTGCTGGGTCAGAGTAAATGCCACCGTAAAGTCGAAACCTTAGCATTAACACTGATCTTCGCTAAGGCTGAATTCTATCCCCTCTCATATTTGCGTAATACATGGATAGAACAGTCAGGCGCAGCAAGGGAGATGGGTGTATCAGCGTAGGAGGTGTCGAGAAGAGAAGATTGTTGTTTGCAGGTGATCTTGTTTTGTTCGCATCTTCTGAAACTGATTTACAGTGCTCCCTGGAAATGTTCAAAGCCAAGTGCGGTGTGCTTGACATGTGTCACCGTATCTAAAGCGAAAACCCAAATGCTTGCTCGTTCTCCTGCCCGTTACGCTTT